CCATACTCTAGCTGGGTGGCCTTGGACAAGTTAGAAGGTTCTAGACTGTCAAGCTGGAAGGGCCTGTGGACACTGTTTTACAGAAGAGGAGACCAAAAGTCAGAAATGAAGCCATCTGCCTCAGGTCACACAGCAATTGAGTTGAAGAGAAGCTGCTAAAACCCAGTTTTCCTGGTCCTGTTTGTGGGCTCTTGGCCTATTAATTCTGGGTCTGAATTTAAATCAGAGTCCCATTATGTGTGGATCTTTCAATTTTAGCAAGTCATTAGCCTCTCATATTTCTGAAGTGGGAAAAATAAAAATACAAGAGTGTTCCCCTGAGGATTGAATTAGGCGATGTTTATGAAAGTGCCATAAACATGCTAGTAACTTTTAAATATATTTTATTAGTGGTAGTTAGTGAAAGATCTTATGATGATTTTCCATAGAGTGGTTTTAGAAGCACTGAGTGTGATACAAATCAGAGGTCAGCAAACTATGGTCCATCGGCCAGGCTAGGTGGCTGCCTGTTTTTTATATGTAAAGTATTACTGGAACTCGGCCACACTCTTTGCTGCTTTCCTGCTGCAGGAGTGGAGCAGATTAGTTGCGACAGAGACCATGTGGCCTATAAAACATAAATATTTACAGAGTTTGCCGACCTTGGGTCTAAATGGTCAAGTGCGTTCTCGTGGTGCCTACAACTCCAATGACTTAAAACCACGTTGAAATTATGACCTCTGGTCTGGTTTTCTCTTTTGACTCCCAGAGTCTCCTATGCAGCAGCGTGTTGGCATCTCTACTAGGATGTCTCATGTCCTAGTTGAAGTTCAAGTGGTCTCAATGTAAACTTGCCTCATTTCCTTTCATGCATGTTGCTCAGCACAGTGACTGGCATCCCCTGGACCCCTACGTCAGAAACCTGGAGGTCATCCTAGAGTATGCTGCTTTCCTCACCTCCCATTTCCCTTCGGTATTAACTTCCTCCCGATGTTTTTCTTTTCAATATCTCTTGGCCCGAAGCCCACCTCTCCATCCTGTCCAACACTGCCCTCAGCCAGACCCTTCACATCTCCTGGCTGAACCATTCCGACAGCTGGGGTTGAACTTCCCCCTGAGTGCTACGTCCATGAAACGGACAGATTGTTTTCTGTTTTTGTGGCTCTGTTGTTTGGTTCTACTTAAAACAGAATAGTAATAATAATCCCAAGTACATGGATTTCACTATCAAAGCTTACAAAGCTGTCCTATGCATGATATCTTCTGATTCTGGGAGAGCCTGGGGAGGGGGCTATTCTACGTTACCCATAGTGATCCATACGAGGGGACCAAGGTTTAGAGGGATTACATGGTTCCCTAAGGTCATCTGCTTTGGAACCACGATGCAGACCCAAGCCCCCCGAACTCTGTGTGACATTCTTTCCTTTCTCCACCTCCTCCCTTCACCATTTTTTAAAAGATTCTTCCTCCTAGAGCATCTGAAGTCCCGCTTTCTTTTCCCTTGAACACTGGAAATCCATCGGGTAATATTTTAGATGTCCTGGGTTCCCACTATGAAGATCGGTATTTCAGAAATGACGGCAACTTATTATTTATGGCAATATCTATTGTTGCTAAGGGAGACAGACCAAACAATTCCCTCTTGTTACAGATGCTACTTTGACTTGACAGCTGAGAAAGTCTGATAGGCAGTTTATTTACTTAGCCATTTAACCAAATAAATGTTTTCATTTTTCTTTCATCTCCACAAAAGCTAACATTTTGCCCTTAAAATTGCTCCAGCAACACATCAGTGAAGTATAAATTACCTGCCATTCCCATACCAGCCATTATAATATTATGTTGGTTCTTTTTTTTTGTCCCTGTTGACCCAGTCTTTCAAAGACACGTGATTCTCCCAGGCGGAAGGGTAGGGGGAACGTGAAGTAATTGAAGATATTTCCCTTTATTGCTAAAATAGAAATGCTGTTTGAGATTGCCCTGAAGCTTCCCCTTCAAGGATTGAGTCTGTCTGTTTTCTCTTTCTGTGGTGGCTTTAACTTATCAACAGATGTCACCCTCACCTCCTCAGAATTGTGTGGGTATTTCTAATAAAAAGCAGCTGGAGATAATGGTTGCAAGGGTGATAAGAAAGATGGAACTCCTGCTTTCCAACTGTACGAAGGCACAGGGGAAAATAAAGCCACAGACGAGACTATCCCTGTATGTTATCCCTTCTCCAAGTGTCTGGAAAGGCACTAAGAAATTGCAGTCAGTAAATTTCTAGTTGGTTGGATGCGCAAATGGAATGGAGATAGAACGATCAAATGTGGCTGGTGGTGCTATTGAGGGAAGGACCCGGGAAGGCTCCTTTGGGCTTTCCTTGTAGATGTCTAGGGGATATGTCTGCAAGGTTGGCATCAGCCTCTTGGCATATGATTCCTGAGAGGCAATTGGAAAATGGCCAGGCTAAGCTTTCAAAGGGAGAAAACTGCCTCACTGAAGATTGTAGTCCAGCCATCCTTTGGAGCTGGGAGCTACTAACTATGATTTACATGTGGACATAAGACTGCTCATTTTTTGGAAGTGAGAGGTGGCCTGTGAGGCCCTAACTGGGGTCATTCTGAACACGGGACAGGGAAGGCCAGATAACTGAGAAATGGGTTTTGCTTTCCTTTCTCAGCTCAAAGCTGTTTTGAAACACATTAAAATTAATTATCCAAAGATATAAAGTACAGAGCAAAACCTCCCAGCCAATGGCTTGGTCCGTATGGTGGGATTTATTCAACATAAGAGCTAAATGTATAAAATCCTGGTAGCAGGGAACTAACATTGGTGGAGCACATAGGATGGTGATGGTGGTGATGGTGGTGATGGTGGTGGTGGTGGTGGTGGTGAGAGTGGCTAACATCTACTGGGTGCTAAGAGCTCACATACATCACTCATTTAGCTCAAACGATAACCCTATGGAGTGGCACTACTTTCACCCTTATTTTTCAAAATAAGATAGAGACTTGTAAAATCTTAGTTCGAACAATAACCCCATAAAGCAGCACTATTTTTATCCTTATGTTTCAATGTAAGACACAGACATAGAAAATCTCATCAGGGTCACATAGCAAATAAGTGGTGGAGACAGATTCTCAACTCAGACAGTTTTACCCCAGAATGCAGATTTTTAAGTTTAGTTTTAAGCTGAGTACTGAGTGTCTGCCCCATGCCTGAGACTCATAACATATACGCATAACATAACGCATAATATAAGGCCCTTTCAGCAGATGAAGAAATCAAGACACAAAAGAAACTACGGTTCTTGCCCAAGATTTCCCGCTATTGTGTAGCTGAGCTAGAACTTGAACTCCAGTTCCAAATCCTGAGCTCTTCTCACTATACCATGCTATGTCCACTTATAATTCAACCATGGCTTGGGCTTCTGGATAGAACAGCGAATGTAGAACAGACGGCAGCCCCACAGAACCATTCAGCTTGTCGACTGTCTCAGGCTGAACAGGCTCATAAAAATGAGGGTTTGATACATTGATCTGCAAATGGTGTAAGTCATCTTTGTTTTTTAGAAGACCTTTGATGTTAGGATGATGTTTGCTGTAATCCTGATGAATGGCTCTTGTCACCTCTAGTTCATTCATCAAATGCTTCAAAGCAGGGTTGGGCATGTGAACTAAAACACATGCAAGGGGTAGAAAACCTCCTGGGCATCTTTCCCAAGGGGTCCACCCGTAATGCTCAACTTTTCTCTGTCTTGGAATATTGACTTTGCCTTTAATTCACCAGCTCCCAAATAGCTTTGGAAGGATACATTTTTTAGATGGGCATTACATGGTTTGGCGTGGCATGTGTTAATATTTGCTATTATATTGCTATAAAATGTGGCAAAATACACAGTGTGTTAAGCTCTTTAATCATAAAATGTATTAACAAAACACTTTCAAAACACTGTCTTAGCTTTCACTAACCATTCAAATAACATACACATGAATGGAGAATAGGATTCTGGGGCAGCCTCAGAATCCATTCATGAGCAGTGAAAACCATTTACCATGTTAATGGTTCTGATCACGTGGTTCAGGCCTTCCAAAGGAGCGCTGTGGGTATGGCCTGGCAGTCCTACACATGTATGGGAAACTAGGAAAGTATTTGAAAATCGAATACATTTGTCAAGGAATGACCTTAGAAATCATGTCTGAGTAACAAGGTGTACTTCTTTAGTCTCCTGAGAAGGTTCGCTTCATCAGCAACTCCTTTCGATCAAATCAAATGTATTGAAATTCAAGTGCCAAAAGCCACTTCTAGTAAATGTAAGTACACCTCTCTCACAGTAGCTGCTGATGGAATCTGAAGTGGTTTGGTGGCAAACCATGCTGCAGCACAGGTGCACACGGCAGAGCCTCAGACGTGAATGCCACGTGTGTTTGGGCTTTCATTTCACTGTCACATTGAAAAGGGTGCGGAGGCCCCTTTTGGCTGGACAAAATGGACTAGCATGAGCTTACATCTCTATTGATCTTCTTTCAAGCACTGCTTATTTTTTGCTTCTTGGGCTGGCTTTTGAGTGTGTTTGGTTGGCGACCTCTTCAGATCCGTGGAGTGTAGGCAAACACAGTTATGCTTTGCTTACAAGAGTAAAGCACCTGGACCGCGTCTCACTGAAAATGGATCAGGGAGGGCAGAATGTGTCCATCTTGGAATTGATGCGTTCAGAAACCGAATCCATGTGAAGTAGTATTGACCGTGCCTCATTCTATCATCACGGCTCACTCAGAACATATGATTAATAAAATAATATGGCCATTCCCCACGCCTCACCCCTACCCCTGCTTCCCAGTGTATGTCAAAGGTCATGCATCCATGAGGAAAAATAAGGGACAAACAGACACCAGGCAAGGAGAGATGATGCAAACATCAGATAGACTCAGGCAAGGAGAGGTGGTACAAACAACAGGGGTGGACGTTCAGAAGTAAAAACAAGCAAAAGGGAACGCAGATGGCTTACGGATGAAGGAGATGAAAGGGAAGATACCTACCCAGACCTGCGCTATCTAGCTACCGGCCTGTGGACTTATATTATCAGCACTGGGTTCCCCACTGGGCTCCCCAAATTGATCACTGTTGGATGAGGCCTGTGACCCATCAGGCTAGAACACAAGAAGAGAACACTTTCTTTTCAACAATTGAAAATGTCAGACAGCTGGGCATGCTTTCGTGCACACAGTACATCAGTTATTTTAAGGCAGCAACTTCAGTTATGAACACCCACAAATGCAAGAACTTGTAGGAACCACGTAATGAAAGTACGTTATTTTAGCTGCTTGTTTGAACAGAAAAGAAAGCCCCCTAGAAACCCATTTAGAACTTAAGCATCTGAGCCAGCATTCTTTCTACGTAGGTTTGCTCACGCATTGTCCATATAGATATAGGAGTTTTGATTTTAAAGAAACACAAAAACAGAAAAGAACAAACGGGTCACTTACAGCTTCTTGGTCTTCGCTTTTGCTAGGACTCTCAAAGCCTTCCTCGAAGATGTCATCTGGGGTAGGATCACTGGCATGGGATGCAGATGATTTGGATGGAGAGCTCTGTCTAGGGGCTGGGGTTGGAGCTGCAGAGACCATGCAAAGAAAGAGAGCATCAGAAGTGTCTGGCTGCACACTGCGTGTCCCACAGAAACCTCGGGGATCTGGTTACGTGTAAGTCAATTCACAGGATTCCTTCCTATCACAGGCCAAGCCAGCTGAACAGTTTACTATCTCCCCTGGACATACTTATCTTGTCCTCTCACATACTTGATGGTCAGGAAGGAGCTGGCAGATGGGACAGACAGTGGCTCTAAAGGCTGGTCCCTGGATCATCAGACACATCTGGGCACTTGTTAGAAATGCCAGTTCTTGGACCCCATCCCAGACCTTCTGAATCAGAACTCTGTTGTTCCTGCACAATCAAGGTAAAAACCACTGGCTTATAGTGTTCTTTCTTCTCTCTTTCTTAACATCACACAATTAATTCAATAAGAATACAGAGATCAGAGGACAATGATATACACTGAGGGCCTTCTGTGTGTCAGACACTGTCAGAAATTTTACAGACAGTATCTCTAACCCTCATAAAACCTTAGGGGTAGGGTTATTCCAAGTTTACAGATAGAGCAAGGGAAGGCTTCTAAATTGCTCCGGGCCACACAGATGGCAACTGGTAGAACCAGGTTTCATATCCTGGCACACAGTATGTGTTAGATAAATGTGCTGAATAAAGAGTGTCTCGGTGACCTGGGAAAATAGATGTGGCTGGTGGCATCTTCACAACTGGCACTGTAGTCCTCATTCTAGGAGGATGTGCATTTTCTGTCGTGACCTTCCCCCATTTTCCTGGTCTCATTTGTTCCAGAGGTTCATAACAAATATGCCTTTTGAAACGACTCTTCCTTCAAAAATTTCTTATTTGGCAATGAAGATACCAGTCACAGGCTCAGACCCAAGTGAGGGGGTGGCGTGGCTTGAGTTAGTAGCTGAATTGCAAATGCCATTGATAAAGGAAGGCCTCTCTACAATAACTTCTTATAAGAATTTACAAAATCTGGCTGCTCATCAGACAGTGAGTGAAAATAGAACTTGGTGGGTTCCTTTTGCCTTGAACCTATATTTAGAACAACAATGCTGTTTATGGTGTCCAGCAAGCTAGACACCATGCTAGGGCATTTTGCAATCATTATGCTCTCTAATATAGACATGGTAAGATGGTATTGTGTCTACTGGTTTTTTTGTTTTGTTTTGTTTGTTTTTGTTTCCTGTTGAAGATATTGCAGTTCAGAGAGGTGAAGTGACTTTGTCAGGGCTAACACAGCTATGAAATAGGAGCCCTGGGATTTCATACAGGTCTGCCTGACAATGTCCGTTCACTGTGCTTTTTTTCTATTTCTATCTGAGGTTTACTCTTAGTCCAACTGACCCTCCAAATCAAACCATTCTAAAGGTGATGCTGATGGATAACAGGATAGAAATGTTGGTTTCACTCATTTTCTTAAACAAAACATTAACATTTTCTCTCATTTAGAAGGGCGTCTGCTTTGTTTTATGAGATGATTATGGAACAAACTGGTTATAGTGGGTTTAAGTGAGATAAGCTATATGAAAACACCCCTGATAAGTGGTAGGCATTTAGTAACTATTAGTGCAATTCAATTCTGAATCGTGTCTGATGTGGTTTATTGCTTACGAAAGGCTGCGAACCCTGGCTGAGATGCTAATTCTGAGAGGTATACTGCTCACACTTACAGAATGAAATCAATGGGAAGCACAATGAGGAGTTTATTTATGTGAGTGTCTTAACCTTTAGAAGGTTGATAGCACACCTCTACAATCTAAAACAGTGGATCGCGATCTGGGGCGCTTCCACTCCCAGGGGACCTGTGGCAATGCCTAGAGTCATTTTTGATCATCATGACTAGGGAGCAGATGTGTAGTCCCGGCATCCAGTGGGTAGAGGTCAGGGCTGCTGCTAAACAGCCTACTATGCACAGGACAGCCTCCCACAACAAAAAAATTATCTGGTCTAAGTGTAAAACCCAGCTCTTAAAATGCAACAGTAGTGGAGCGGCGTTTGTTTGTTTCATTCTCTCCCACCTTTCCCCAATGCCTCCCTCCCATGTGTTAGATACTATGCTGGCATTATGCGTAATGTAGAAATGAGAAATGATTAAGACATATTCCCTGTCCTCAAAGAACTTAAGCTCCCCTCTTTTATTTGTAGCTGGCACACTGAAAGATATTCGTTTTCAAAAGATGCTCTCTTATTTATGTATGAGTTTCATTTATTTTGCGTCTCCCTTTTTGTTCATTATTCTTCATTGGGACCCTGTGAGCTGCAGTTAACAGAGATGCCCCCACTATGTAGATCATCTGGCTCGAGGGGAAGGAGGTTGTTTGTACACATTGAAGGTGTTCGTTTTCAGAACAGCATTCCGGATCTGGCTGAAATGACACTCTCTAATTATGTTAACATTAGATTTTTTTTTTTTTTGACAATTCACGGTATTGGCCAAACAGTGATCCATATCATCTGTGACAGTAATGAAACACCACACTCATTGTTCCATGAGCCTTTTCTTTCCCCTGATCAATTGTCAAGGCACAGGCTGAATCATCAGACACCGTCTGCAAACGGTGTGGACCAAGCATAGGAGTGCTCAAGAGTATCTGGATTCTGGCTACACGGTGCTGGTTTTCCAGATGCTTGCAGGAGAAAAGTGAGCTGGGCTAGAATCACTGACTGCTGGAATTGGAAGGAGGCTCGATGCTCATCATTTAGTTTACCCATGACACAGCTGAGGGTAAGAGAAGCCACACATCTGCCTGAAGACACAGCCTGTGGTGGAAGAGCCAAGGCTAGAACACTGGTCCGGGACTCTGCACGAAATCACTCAGTATGCTATGATAATGACGACGAAATGACTTCAAACTCTGTGAGGTAGGTAATGGTTCAGTAAGTGGACCACTGAGTCCTTTTAATCACCTTTGCCTATGGTAGATGAGGGACTCGAGGCTCGTAGAAATGACTTATGCGTAGGCACAAAGCTAGTAAGTAATAAAGCTGCTATCCAGAGCTTCCTGCTACACCATCATTTTTCCTCTTTGACTACCCTAAGTTTCGGGTCAAAATGGAGCTTTGGTTCTACCAGGTATAGGAGGCCTTATGGTTGCTGTATGTCTGCTCTAAGTTTTCTCCTGATCTTAACTGTCTATTCTAAATGTTTATCTTTGTTCCTAAAAATTCACACACATCATTCATTTTTATTTCATTTTTTCCTCTGTGTCATAGCTGGGATATACACAAATGAATGAAAGAATGAATGCATGAATGAACAAGTGAACAGAAACCTAAGAGGCAGAGGGACATGGTAGAAAAATAACAGGCTTGTATTCACTACTACCACTTTTTCTGTTCTCTTTGTCTTGGAATCTCTCATTATCTGTCAAATAAGTCTAAGAAAACTTGTCATACGCATTGTTATGAGTGTAAAAATAATAGATATAAAGCATGTGGAGGGGGGGTGTATGTTATAATTGGCACCTAATAATTGGTAGCTATTATTGTTGTTGTAATAATATAAACAAGGAGTTAAATGTAACTGAGATGAGTTCTCTGACCCCGGAAACAAGTCATCACTCCCACTGGGCTTATGAAGGGCACTCACGTGAGTTGGTCGATGGTGTGGTAGAAGTCACAGGGGTCAAATTCAACTGGGAGATGTCAAAGTCATCACAGTCATCTGTATCCTGTGCCACCCCGACTTTGTTGAAGTAACTGGAGAAGGCCTCTGAGGTACAGCTGAGGGAGGGCTGGTCGGGTTTGCGGGAGGGCACGGGCGGAGGCTGAGCCATCTGGAAATCCTTAAACATTTCTTTCCCCATTTTCTGCCTGGGCTTGTCGGTCTGTGGACTTGACCTGGTGGAGTCACCCGTGGCTGGGACGGTTGCAAGGGGGGTAAGGGGACCTTGGAACATGGCGGCCGGCAAAGGCATAACAGTTTGTGTGGGCATGAAGGCGGCTGGTGGGAACTGCCCTGCCACGGCTGGCCAGGGCTGCTGAGTGGCAGGAAAGAGACCCGGCTGGCCCCATGCGATGGGCTGAGCCCCCGGCATCACCTGAGCGACTGGTGGCTGAGCACCCATGGCGATCTGCTGTTGGACAAGGGGCTGCTGGCCCCAGAAGGATGGGAGGACGGCGCCCATTGCAACATAACCTGGAAGGGTGAAAAAGAAGAGTCAGGCACCCTGGGAAAGAATAATTCACAGAGTCAAGTGATCGGCCGACAGGTAATGAGAAACCACCAAGTGTCAGGCTGTGTGCTAGGGATGGGGGTGCAAAGATGAGTAAAACAGAAGCCCCTGCTGTCATGGAGCCTGCCATCTACAGCAGTGGTCATGGGACCCTCTCCGAGGAGATGCCTCATGAGCAGCAGTTAGAATGCAGCGAGGGAGCTGGCCAGGCAGATATCTGGGCAGGAATAGTAATACTGCTACATGGTTAAAGGTTTCTGACCCCACATAGCCTTGGGCACCAGTGTCTCAGTGGGAAGGGCAGAGGGCTAGAAACCAGGCACGTGGCAGTTTGAATCTCGCCTGTCTTTCTTGCCAGAACTGGGGTCTTCTCAACCGCTTAAGCTCTCCAAGAGTCAGGCTCTTTGTTGCAGAGCCAGTTAGAACACCTTCCTCTTCAGCATCGAAGCTGAATAAAAATTGGAATTTTGGAGTTTTAGAGGTAGAGGTTAGAATTCAGGCTGCTTCTTCTTATCTATGGCATTTGGGGGGAGCTTAGGTAGCTCTCTAAAGCTCTGTCGCCTTATCTGTAAAATAGGCATAAAATACCTTCTGCCCTCATTGGGTTGGTTTAACAATTAATTGAGATTATGGATTTAAGGTGTGGAGTCCTGCACCTGACACAGAGGGAACAGTCAGTAAATGTTAGCAATTAGTACAATTTGAATCAGAACCCATAAATATGCACTTAATACCCTACTTCATGTATAACAGACATGCAGTAAATGGTAGCTATAGGTGTTACTATACATGGTTTCTGAATTATTATGCCAATTTTAGAGATTATAAAAATGTAGGTCATTGTCTACTCAGGAGCACTGCAAACAGCGGTACAGGTCGGCCCTGCAAACGCGGGGTGCACTCACATGCATTACCGTCATAACTACTGACTGCGTTATCTCCTTCAGGTGAGACATAATCATTTCAAAAGAAGCACAAGTGACATTTTTTACAATAGTGATAGGAACAATAATAATTTCCACTTATTAAATGATTACAATGTGCTAGGTATAGTATTCGGAGTTTTACATGTTCACAAAACCCTTGTAGGGTAGGTATTATTATCTCCATTTTAGGGATGAGGAAATTGGTCCTCAGAGAGGAAAAGTACCTCGCTCAGAGTCACACAGCTGGCACGAAGTGGGATCCGGATCTCAATTGAGGTCACCTGCCCCCAAAGCCAGTGATCTTTTCTCTGCACCACAGTGCCTCCCCCAGATGGTCAAGACTGATTTCTGATCAGAGGGCCCAATGGCCACATGCATAGACAGTCGAGATTGGCAGGCAGATGCCCAGGACAGGTAGTGCAGAGGGTGGAAAAGCTAGCTTTGCCTGGCCTCTCAAAACAGTGATTTCATGGCTGTCAGAAGGAATTTACAGGTACAAAAAGCAGTGAGACCAGGAGAAGAGGAGGGGCGGGCAAAGCGTATCCTAGCAACTTCCAAAGGGAAGACAGGTGGGCATGGCACTGGTCATGTCATGTCATGTCATGTCATGTCATGTCATGTCATGTCAGTGACTCCAGTGATCCCAGAGAAATCATGTGCAGGTGCCCCAGCATCAGATCTACGTGCCCTTCAATTGACTGATGAGGGCTAGAGCCAACATTGAATGCCAGGCCATTTCCTTACAAGGTAAGAGGAGGCTGCAGATTAACCTTGATGTTTAACTGAGCAGTGTTAAATGATTTTATGGAATGAGGCAGGGGTGTCAAAAAACAAAGCAGACGATATCCTTATAAGATCACTGTAGTCCTAAGGCCTGAAATAAGGGGTGAAAGAGGCACTTGTGCTGACATTTAAAACTTGAAACTTGCTTACATTGCCTGTCTCCTCGCCTATCATAACGCAGTGACTTGAACTTAGCAACAGACTAAGAATTTTGCAACTTTGTTTTCATCTTCTGATTTACTTTCATGGGCTCAATGGTTCTCAAGGGATGATTAGGAAATTTGTGGGGTGTATTTTTGTTGTCATGATAACTTGGGGATGGGCGCTCCTGGCATTGAAAGGGCCAAGAGAATTGATACAAGACATCCTTTGATGTGTGAGACCAACGTGTATTAACAAAATACTATCCCACTTTCTGTATGATTATTTGAGTATAGACTGAACTTTGAATTACATGGAAATTCAAAGTTTATTTGTACAGTTTTAATGTACTTAATTTTCCAGGAATGTAACAATTGTGTACACTGAGGGAAGACTGTTACTTTGTTTTGTTTGGAACACTGTCAACAGTTTTTCACCAATTTGGAAAATCGTGGTCCCTAACAGAAACACTTCTTGTGATGTTTGAGCCAACATGACATTCCTGTATAGGTCTGTACCTGCAGTGCTCTCATTTCTAAGTATACACACCTGACTACTTAGTATCTCTTCTAGTGTGGTTGTACCTGGGGCTTTCCTTATTGAAATACAAATATATTTTATTATAAGTTAGCCTTCTTTTTTTTCTTCCTTATATTACTATTCGGGAATCATACTGACTTTTGAAAAACTGTATAGATGGGTTATATCAGCGATAAATTTCATTTCATAATATTACAAATATTTGGTATAAGAAGGGGATGGTGAATCTGACAGTGTGGAGACCTGCCTGTGGATCTTTCAAACACCCCAACCCTGATGTCCATCTTGGTGAATAGATGGGCGACTTCAGCCTCCCCCAGCCTATTTTCTGCTTTGATTTCATTCCACCCTCCTCTTTGCCACCAGGACACTGTTCTGAAATGCAAATGCAGTGCTTCATTGTCTTGAGAATCAGGCTCAGATGCCTTAGCTTGGCTTATGAGCCTTTGGGGGTCAGCCCCCTCTCCACCGCTTCATCCCCATTTTCAATGCAAATTCCCACCAGCGCCTTTTCCTGTAGCAGCTACAAGCAACACTCAGCCTGCTCTCTCATCTGTGCTGGCCCATCTGCCTAGAAAGCCAACCCCTACTTACTCATGTGGCAACCCCTTATTTGCTCTTTGAGACTCAGTTCAGCATCACTTCTAGATTCAGTTGGTTCTCCTTTGCGGGGCTTCCGCGGTCCTCTGTTCATCTCTATCATGGCACTTGTCACACTGCCTCATAATTGCCTGGTTCTTCTGTCTTCCCTCAGTAGACCAGAAACCACCTGCTAGCAGGAGCCCTTTATTTTATCGTTCTCCCCCATCGGCATCTAGCATAGTTTTGGGCACAAATCAGCTGCTCCATAAATGATTTTGATTGGAGAAAGGCTCTATATAAAAAGCCTTTATATATATATATATATATTTTTTTTTCCAAGTGTACAATTAAACTCCAAGATCCAAAAGGGCTGTGATCTCTGATGAGTCAGTCTACTGCTGATAGCAGGTAGCAGGGCTTTTTTTTTTTTCCTCTTTTTTTTTCCCACAAGGAACCAACAGATGGGCTGTGCACACTTCCCTAGGGAGAGCTATTAGCATGTCTCTCTGGCTTCATGCCATCTGCTTCAGACCAAAGTACAATATTCAAAAGAAAAAAAGGCAGCACAGGGTAATTGGGTATCATGTTTGGGAACTTGCAGGCCTCACTCCTTTTTCCTGGGGTGGGGGGTGGTGTCCGTGCAGCTTGGGCTCCCCTCAGGTCTGTGAGCTAAGGTTTCTGGCCACATGGCACGGTGCATGCGTGATGGGACGCCTCAGTGGCAGGGCTATGCTAGTCCTGGACATAGGAAGCCACTTGGTGGCTGCCACTGCAGCCAGCCATGTAACAGCTTAGTAACTGTTGGCTCATTAACATTCAACAGCGGAGGGAGGAGGTGCCAGGAGCATCTGTTTATGCGGCCGAGTTCAGATCAGTCGTAAACCTCCTTGCTGTGAGGTAAAACACCTGCATTACTGCCTTGCAGTTAGATTTTTAAAAAGTGTTGAAAATTGCAATTTACAACCAGATGCTGGTATCTGGAGATACCCTCATTATTTGAAAAAAAAAAAAAAAAGCAGGCTAAAATGTAAGAAAAACCCTGAAAACTAAGGGACTCTGCAACATATATAGAATTTGCATGGTACCTCTTATCTATATTATTTCATTTGATTGATTGATTGATTGATTCAGAAATAGTCCTGCTGGATGCTAAGCACTGTTTTAGTCTCTGGAGATGCAGTGAAATACAAAACAGTAAAAAAAAAAAAAATCCTTGCCCTAGAAGAGTTTACATTTTTAGAGAAACTGTAGCTTCATGAGGGGATGGTTTGACACGGCTACAAAAGCATGGGTAGCAGAGCCAGGGCCCCTGGTGAACAGAGTAGCAAACATTAGGTGAGACCTTACTTACATAAACACTGCCAGGCACTGTTTTAAATGTTTTACTATATGTGTTAACTAGTGCAATCCTCAGAACAGCTCTATGGAGTGGAATTCTTACCCTCATTTTACAGAAACGTTTCCTAAGGCCCAGAAGAGATTTAGCTGAGTATTACACAGCCAGTGAGTGGCAGGGTCTATATTCATACACAGTACATTCTCCAGCCTCCCCTCCCCACCACGCACAGTGAAGAGGCCAAAGACTTAAATTTCGTAATATGCAGTTTTTAAACATTCCAAGAAGATAAAGAAAAATAATATTGGTAGGACAAGACATATTTTCTTCTACTTTAGAAATCAGGGTACTTGTAATAACAGCATTTTCTACATAAAGCATCTAAAATGTGCTAGCATTTTTCAAGGCACTTAACTTTCTCATTCAATCCTCATGATATTGTTGCAAGGTAAGTATTATTTTCAATTCAGTTATAAAGATGAAGAATCTCTGGCTCTGACAGGTTAAGTAATTTGCCCAGGAGTCTACAACTTATAAATAAATGGCTGAGCTGGGATTCAAGCCTAGTCCACTGGACACAATAGCATCCCACAGCCTGTCCATTGGATTGCATACCCCAGTTCACGTCCCCATCCCCCATCACTAGCTCTATAATTAGGGACTGGTAGACGGAGGAGATTCAATGCTGCAGAGATTTTTAAGGCCAGTTAAGGGAGGAAAAGGGCAGAGAGTTTAACACCAAATGAAGCCTAGTTTTGTTCTTCAGCATATCTTGAGTAAGAAAGCAAAAATATGCTCATTGAAATTAATTTTAGACACATTCTAAAAATTGGAAGCTTGAAGGTAACACACACACACACACACACACATATATATATGTATGTAGGGTGGCTAAAGAAACCGAATCTGGATGTGCAGAAGTGGCTTGTCCATAGTTTGTAGCACAGCTGGTCAACTAGCAAGGCTAAAATCCAGGTCTCCTAAGCCCTCATCTGGCACAAGCTGCGGAGCAGGACCTAAGCAGTGCCTGACACGGGCAGGCCCTCAGGTGCTTTATCATCAAAAGGGCTGGAAGACATGGGCAGTCGCATCCAGTCCCACCCTTTAACTTATAGAGAAGGGAACAGAGACTCAGAGGGGCCAAGTCCTTCCTCCTCTTCCTGGAGTACACTTGACCTGCCAGCTTCCTGGGTCTCTCCCTTACCACTCCCAGGCTGCTCACATCTCACCTTTGGAGGAGCCCCTCCTGGCTACAGACTCCATGTAAGCCAGCTCCTCACCTGCTCCAAAGCCCCATACCCTACTCTATATTTTGCTTTTGTCCATACCACTTACTATTTTCTAACATATACCTACTGATTTTAACGTTGTCTCTTAAATAGAAAGTGAGCTGTCTGCGGGCAAGGGTCTGCTGTATTCACTGACACGCCCCAGGCACCTAGGACAGAACCTGGAACGTGGCAGGCAGTCAGCGAGTATCTACAGAATGAACATGCCTGTACATGAGTAAGTCTGATGCCTAGAGTTCCCATCGCCTGTCCAGCACATCTTCATGGGTCAAATAATGGGGGCAAAGCATGGGGGTTCTGGACACAGGGCTGATGGCACAAGAAGGTCGTGCATTTCTGACTGAAAACTGTTACTCTTATTTAAAATGACGCATTCTATTATACCACTCCCAGGGAAAGTCTGATAACCCTTTTAGGTAACGGAAACCAGCCATCACCACTATCCCATTTTAGAAATGGGTAAAACGGGTGGGAAGCTTAGCACTTACGTTTCTGGGCTACCTGCACTTTCTAAATTGTAAGTAGATCCAGTGGCTACCCAACTCTTGCTGCTTCTCAAAGTTCATAATGCGCTCTGGGCTCATGTAACTGTTTCAGAACAGGATATACATGTTTACTTCACATTGAACAAGAAGGTTTATATTTGGCCTCAAGAATTTGCTTCTGACACTATGTAATTAAAAGTAATTATTTCCAGAAAAAATGCAATTTTTGTATTCTAAAGTATTTAAGCACTGTTTGCCATTTATGAGAACAAAGTAGAAAAAAAGAGATGAAGCCGCAAACTTCAAATACATAATTAAAAGCAAAGTCCTTAAGCCTCCCATGGATATAAAAAGCAGAAGTAATACCAGCTTTGGTCATGTCCAAGAGGAGAGGACTGGCCGTGTGGAGAGCCTGAGCCCATGGAAACAAGATGCCTGTGACCCCACCAATTTGTAAGTCACCTAAAACACTGTTACTATATATTTTTACTCTGTTGTAAAAGTAGTATATACATTTTAAAGAATATCTGGAAAACAGAACAAATGCTTTCTAAATCACGAAGATCCCCATCACCCTCCCAATTCACCGTTAGCAGTTTGCTTTGTCCCTTAGGTTTCTTGTATGGGGAACCTCCCCCTCCTTGAATCTCCATCAAATGAGACAGATCCCATCTATGAGTCAGATCTCAAGAGGTATGTGGAGAGCTGACTCACCTCCTCCCTACTGGCCGCCTTTTTTCCTTCTGGCTGAGATGGACAGGAAGAAACTGATTGTGTGTGTGCACCAAGCTCCCTAAAGCGATATACCTGAGTAACCTAGAACCTTGAACTTTCCAGGTGAAAGACATCACTGAATTCCAGCAGTACACCAGACCTATGTAAATATCACCCCACCCGCCATGGCGGCTTCTCCATGTCACCTGAAGAGTCCCAAGGAGGGAATGGTGGCTCCACAGGGGTTGAGGCATAATGTGGCAGCTGGTTCAGTCAATGCTTTCTCTTTCTTGATGAGTGGAGGCTGAAGGAAGAGAAGCAGGTGGAAGAGGGCTTACCTGAGGGTACAGCAGCAGTGCCGAAAGGTACAGAACCAAACATGTCTGCACTCGCTGGAAGTGTCTGAGATGAAGACGGGATAAAGGCATCACCTGGAGTTGCAGGAGTCTGTCAGGCAGAGAGAGACAGAGGGTGCATGAGGCTCCTGGGAGGGGGCTCAGCAGCCATCAGAGATGGGGTGGGGTGGGGCAGCAGGAGCAGGAAGTAAGTGTGTGCGTGTGCTGCACAAGCAGCA